GTAGTGAGGCTTTAATGGAATTGCTACAGCGTATGGCGCCATTAAACGACATGACAGTGATAACAGTTGGTCCTCTAAAAGGGAGTCCACGCACCCGCAAATTTAAAGAGCAACGCATACATGCTAACTGGGTGGCCGACTTGGAAGATGGAACTATTTATATCGAGCATTGTAATTGGTTAGATTTTTCTAAATTTAATTTACCAAAACCGATTTATATAAACTTGGTTCGCGATCCCGTCGAACGTATGATTAGTTGGTTTTTTTATGTACGTGGTGCCTATAAAAATGCCATTTACTTTAATAAAAATCCTGATGGTGAAATAAAACCCCCAGAATGGTTTAAAAAGGATTTCAATCACTGTGTGCGTAGTGGTGATCCTGAATGTCAATACGTTCCACATACTTTCAATGACCGCGAAGGAAATCATAAAAGACAAAGTTTATTTTTCTGTGGTCATGACAATGACTGCTTGTAAGTATGCAAACATAATATATAAAGTACTATTTATTTATGTATATATGTACAACACAAATATTTTCTATTAAGACCGTTTGATTCACCATATGCAATACATATGGCTAAGCTTAATGTAGATCGTGATTACGCTGTAGTTGGTACCTGGGAGGATACAAACATAACATTGACAGTTTTTGAAAAATATATACCAAGATTTTTTAAAAATTCGAGAACAGTTTATAACAGTAAGTAGAAATATAAGAATCGTGTCATTTTAAACAATAAAATAATACTGTAATTTCTCCATATGAAGCGCAAAAATTATAACTAAATATTTAAATAATACTTAAGCCCTTTCTTTGACAAATAATCGTATTTTCAATAATTTATAGCTCAAATAACAGTTCATTTTCTTGTAACATATTTTTATAATTTTTATTACAAGTTAAATATAGCAAAACTATATGCTTATATCGTATAGTTTTTAAATATGTCTTTTGTAATATAATACAGATTTTATAATTAAAGGTTTTGCTTGACTAGGGTTATTCTGATGCCGTATATAAAGGGGAAAGTGGTTGTGCGACTTATACCATATCCCCACCCCCGAAATATTTGAAATTATTTTGCATGTTTTCATTATATGAAATATGTTCATATGAAAGAACTTTAATTTATATTTCAAAAACGAAACAAAATTGAAATTGTAACGAAATTCACTTATAGGATTACTAGCATAAAATTAAAAACAACCAGTTTCTTTATTTTTGATTATTGTTTATTCAATTCTATAAAAAATGAAATCATCCAATTATTTTCGAAAAAGCGACTAAATCATAAGGCTTCACTCACTTTTTCATAGTATCGTCATTTTTCTAAAATTAAGATTTTCTGATAAACCTAAGCTTGTTACACGAAAACCACCGATTAGATCAGACAATAAGATTTTTTCTTTACCATTTGTTTTGTCCATTCTCGATGCTCTGAATTCTGCTTGCATTACATTACATATATAAGCTAACTTTATATAAGTTATAAATAATTCAATTATTTTTATATTTGACGGTGTCGTTTAATTGTCATTCTTTATTATGATTTTCCGTCCTTTTTAATATCAAAGTTTACTTGCGTCTTTAATTTTAATTGAGATTTATAAGAAATATTTTTTAGAATTTTTTATCTTATTTTTCGAGTATGAATACATACACTTAAAATCCTTCATAAAAAAGTATTACTGTTATAATTTTTTGAACGAACTTTATTAACCCAACCACTAAGTGTATTCAACCAAAAATAAGTTTAAATTAGAAGGATTCGAACAGTTATAAAGCAACAACAACAAAACTTTTAATTTTTTGAAATTTGGGTGACCATACAATGCTGTTTCGAGTATTATCAAGTACTTATCGTCAGTGACCTTTTAGGAAATATTCGAAGATCACTCATGACAAATACTTGGCAATACTCGAAACAGTGTTGTATGGTCAGTCAAATTTCAATATATTAATTAAAATTTTTGTTTTTGTTACTTCATTATTGTTCGAGTCCTTCTTACTTAAAAATAGTTTCTTTTCGTCATAAGACGTGTTATATTTGACTTAGAAATTAATATTTATTAAAAATTTTTTTTTATTTCAATATTTGTAATTATCAATAAGATTTTATAAATAAGAATTTTTAATTACCCATTAAATAAGTTTTTACATTTCCTTTTTACTAAAATTATTAAAAACTATGTTATTATAGTAATTTCTCTTTGTCAATAACAGCATTACTTGAATGCAAAGTGTAAAGATTTTAAAAATTTAATTTAATTATATGAAAAAAATAGAATATCTTACTTATATGCAATAAATGAGTTTTGAGTTATTTTCATTTGCAACCGCAATTTTACTTAAATCAGTACAATTTATATATAATTTAATTAAAATTGTTTTCGGTTCTCGAAAAATTGGCATTTTAATTTTTTTTTTTGAAAACCATCAAGCCAGTAATCCATTCAATAAGAAAAAATCATCGTTATTATTAGTTTTAATTAATTTAATATAAATAACATTCAAAAAATAAAATAACTTTCCCCTAATGTGGAAAGTAACAGCTTTCTTTTGAATTCCTAGATTAATATAATATATATCAAGTGCTAATTATTATCTTATTTTAATATAATCTTTAGCCAAACATATTTATTGTTAAATTCAATTTTTTTATATTTTTTATTTAAATTAAAAACTAATTTTGTACTTTATAATTGATTGCAACACAACAAAATTTGTTATTTACCGATACCCGTTAATAATGGTATCGGTTACTTTCTTTATTCAAATACAACACTATAAATGTGTTTAAATTTTTGAATTCCTTACCTATTACCTACTCTACTTTCATATTGTTCTTCTTTTACTATTTCTTTTACTACAATAAAATTCTTTTTTTAATGTTATTTTTACAACAACATCATTTTTTATTTTCCATTATCCCAGTGAACATTGATCGTCTGCAAAATCGTAATAGAAACAATCGGAAGCCGAAAATTGATTCGGATGTTAAGGATTTAATGCGCAAAAACTTTACAAATGAATATGATTTCTATTATTTCTGCAAGCAACGTTTGTATAAACAATATTTAGCACTTAAATTAGGAAATTATATATAATTATGTGAATAATTAAAAGTATTAAGTTTATAATATAATATAAAATTAAAAAATAAAAATAAATACATACCATTTAAAATACGTACTATATTGTAAGTTTTTGTTTTCTTTTTGAGTGATTTTTATTAATAAAAGTTCCAGCAAAATGTTTGTTGTTTTAATAATAGGAACGCAAAAATCTATAAATATAAAACTATTTCATCAGAAGGGAACTAAAATTTAATATGTATAACTTCATCACAACTTTCATCACAAAACCAGTGCATTCATTGCCACCACAAATGCATGAATTTGCACACTCACATACACAAGTTGCACATATTTTCGTATGTCCGCCATTTTGAAAAAATCGTTAAATAACTGCTATTTAAATTCCTTAAATGATAGTTGTTTTAATAGTTGATCAATTTTATTAACAATTAAACAATGTTAATTTACACATAAGTTACACTTTCGCTAAAAATAACGCAATCAAGGACCACTATTTCACTTAATATTACGAACGAACAACAACTCTTTTCTTCACGATCGCGTTACAGCTAGCACAAAGCCAATTGTCAGGAGTAGTGATCAGTGTTGCCAATCAGCAAAATTTTTAACAATAATTTGAAAAATATTACAATTTTTAAATGTGTACTTGAAATGGTGTCACCAAAACATATGGATTGCACACCTCTTTCACAATGTAAAATATGCATATGTAATGAAGTTGCATGTACATAATCAGAAAAATTATTTGTAGCTGAAACTCATACATTTGCGTTCTTTTTGCTTAATATTGTGCAAAAATAATAGCCAACTTTTTTAAATCGAATTCTAAATTGTAAACTAATCAATATGCGTAAATGAAAAGTATTAAATTATTTTAAATAAACTATTTGAATTGTGTAGATTTTTTTTTTGCATTTTTAATTTGTATAAAATCAATTTTTTTGTAATTTTGTTTTAAATTTTTTGAGTGGTTACGTCGAAATTATTTTAAAGTCGGTTTTGTTTTTAGGATTTAAACTTTTATTTCGTATGTTGTGTTTTATATATCTGCACACGTATTTCTTCAAATTCACCTTCATCAGGAGAATACAGGAATTCAAGAATTCCTTTAAATCAAGACTTTAAATCAATTTTTAATTGAGCAACTTTTTTAAAAGCTTTCAATTAAATCAAATGATATTACATTAAATATTATTAAAAAAAAACTAATGTGGCCTTTATTTAATAGGTCACATTTTTAAATATTTATTGTTTTATAGCTCTTATAGTCAATAAATTATTTGTAATATATTTAAATTATTATGAAAAATTGTTAATTTATATATTTAAACAGAATATTTACACACAAAAAATCGTTATTTTTCTTAAATTTAGCATCCCTACAAGTATTGCCAACATATAAAAATATATAAAAAACATCTGTTGGCATTACAGGAAATGAAGCTTATTGAAAACGAATTTGGTGTTAAAAAAAAAATTATGTCTAACATATAATTTTATTTTAATAAAAAATTCTTGATAATTTTTATGATCCCATATTAAAGATTCAATTACATAAAATTATTCAATTTATTTATGAAAACGTCTTTATGATATTTGCATGCACAAATTATCCGCATGTTAAATATTTACCCTTGTGCAAAGCTACTGGAAAATGCAAACAAATTATCAATCACCTCGGAGAATATATATTTTAAAAGCACAATTTTAATGGCAACAGGTATGTTTAAAAATGTTTCAGTTTTATTATTATTATTAAACAGTAACTTATTTTTATTACTTCAAAAGGTAATTAAAATTTTACAACAATCGTTAAATTTATGATTTTCTCTTATTTTTGTCAGATGCAATCATTAAATGTAAATGATTTGAATAACACGCGAAAATCTCAATTAGATTTAATATTTTTCAATCGAGTACCTAAAGTTGGTAGCCAGACTTTTATGGAATTGCTGCGACGCTTGTCGGAACGTAACAATTTTCAGTTTCATCGTGACGCTGTGCAAAAGGTGGAAACAATACGTTTGGCAGAAGATCAACAGCAGGAGTTAGCTGAAGTCATAAGTGAATTACCGGAACCATCAGTATTCATAAAACATGTCTGTTATACAAATTTTACAAAATTTAATCTTCCCACCCCCATTTACATAAACGTTGTGAGAGATCCAATTGAACGAGTAATCAGTTGGTTTTATTATGTGCGTGCTCCTTGGTACTTTGTTGAAAGAAAAGCGGCTTTTCCAGATTTGCCACTACCACATCCAGCTTGGTTAAAGAAAGATTTCGAAACATGTGTTTTGTCAGGCGATCAAGAATGTACTTATACACAAGGCGTTACAGTGGAGGGTATCGGTGATCATCGGCGGCAAAGTTTATTTTTTTGCGGACATGCGTATGAATGCACGTAAGTAATAAAAATTTTTTTGCGATTTAAATTGATTCATTTTATTAATTTTATTAATTTCTTTTAAAGACCTTTTAACACTGTGGGTGCACTAGAACGTGCTAAATTTGCCGTAGAGAGTCAATATGCCGTTGTTGGTGTGTTAGAAGATTTAAATACTACGTTATCAGTATTAGAGGAATATGTTCCAAGATTTTTTGAAGGTGTACGTGAAATTTACGACAGTAAGTAAATGCTTATTTATATTTGAAATGAACACTATAAAGTATTTTTTTATATATAATTTATAGGTAGTGCAGAATATTTGACAAAAATCAATAAAAATAATTTCAAACCTCCAGTTAGCGAAAAAGTAAAAGATATTGTGAGACGCAATTTTACAAATGAAATTGAATTTTATCAATTTTGCCGCCAAAGATTACATAAACAATATCTGGCGACGCATTTGCCACAAAAACTTCTTGCAAACCAAGTGAATCTATTAAAATAAATATGTTATTGTTGTTGTTTTGGATAATGTAAAGTGTGTGACTTCCTTTTCTGTATATTGTATGTAATTTTATCATTTTCATATATATAAACCACATTTTAATATAATTTTTTTTTTATTTTACATAATTTTAATTATATTTTCTATTATACTATTAAAAATTGATAGTATAAAAATATTGATTTTTATACAAATTGTTAAGTATATAAATCCTAGACTAATTTCTATATAAGTTATAGTTCTCTGTTGTACTAGGTTAAAATTTTTAATATTTTATACTCAGAACTAAAAGAAATTTTAAAATGTGATTAAAAAATGAACAAAATATATATGTATTGTTAAATATTTTATTTCATAGAAAACTTAAGTATATTATTAATATATAAAAATTGAATAAATAACAAAAAATAAAAAACAAAATTCGAATTTTAAGTTGTTTTAATTCATTTAGATATGAATTTGAGTGTAAGTATGATTTTAAAAACAATTTTAAAAGAATGCTCTATTAAGTTATTTTAATTCATTTACATAGATTGGTATGTATTTAAATGTAAGTATGTATGTAAAAATAAATTTTAAAAACAATTAAATATAAAAGTTAATGAAGTGGATATTATATATGTATTCAAGTCAAGTTAGGAAATAAATACAAAAATCTAAAAACAAAAAATTGTATTTACCGTTAACTTATTAACATTTATTTATATATATACATATTTATATACATAAATTATTGCTATAAATATGAACAGTTAAACAACTTATTTAAAAAAGTTTAAATAATAAGGCCGTTAAATAACAAATACTTTGTATAATAAATTTAAAAAATAATTGTTTGAAAATTTTCCATAAAGTTGTTTAAGTAATATAATAAAAATTTTTAAAACACTTAAAGCAATGAATTTTGAATATAATAATTAAAGCAGTTAATAAAGAGTAAATTTTAAATTTAATTTTATAAGTATTTACTTACTCATAAAATGCTTAAGTTATAGATAAATAGTAATTAAAACATTTAAATTATTACATTTATAATGAATGAGATCCTATACTCCAATGTGAGAAAGGATAAATTAAAAAAAGATATTAACAACACATATTTGAGTAGATTTTATTTTAATTCTGTTAAAAGTTATAGTTATAAAAAAATAAAAAACAGTCAATATTATTTGTCTTTGATAATCTCAAACTAAGTTTTTTGATAAAAAGAAGAAAACATGAGTTAATATTAATGCACTTGTATTGTATTACAAATATTTTGTGTATTAATTTATTTTAAAATTTTATGTTCAAGGTGCATGTATTGATGTTTAATTTATTTATGATATCGAGAACAAAATATTTGATTTCATAACCGGCATAGTGTAATATTTTAATGAAATATCTAATATACGAGTATCTAATACATATTTTATTTATAACTAAGTAAATGCACTTGTACATTTATAAAAACTTTTTTAATTAAGTAAAAACCCCTACGGCAGTGCATAGATAAGCCTCTATTACAATGTTTTGGTGTTGATTATATAAAATACTCACAGATTTTCACGCATGACAATGATTATTATAAAATTTATATAGATACATTTGTACATGATTATATATTTCTTACAACAAATATTTATTTATATAAATATGATATATACAGATAAATATGCAATACAAATGTACAAATTAAATTTTTTGTGAATTTAAGTATATCTTACATATGAGCATATATACTTATGCACATGTGAGTATAAATTCATTACAAAAAATATGATAAGTTCTTATTAATACTGGGGACTATAAATTACACTTGAAATGATTTGTACATTTGTTATCAAAACTTGAAATTGCATTTTTTACTGAAGATTCGAATTATTTATGATAGTTTGTGTTTTATATTTATACACATACTGTATATAGATGTATGTATATATATGTAATATCAAATACATATATATATATATTTCTGTAAATATATTTTATATATATTTATATTATGTGTAATAATAATATATATATATATAATATGTAAAATAAAATATATATATATTTCTGTAAATATATTTTATATATATTTCTATTATATATATTATTAATATAAGTATGAATATATTTATAAAAAATGAATTTTAAACTTTTCGATGCAATGCTTTGTCACTATAATATGCGTAATGTTAATTAAATTATTAAACTTATGCACAGAATTAATCTAAATAAAGGCTTTAAACGCTTCTTTTAATTATTATTTAAACATTGTATATAAATTTGAATTAATAGAGTAATTATTTTTACTCCATTATTATAAAAATAAAGTAAATATATATTTGTTATACTTAGAAATACTATAAAAAATTAAAAATGTTTTAGGAACCTTAACTAAATTTGTTTGAAACTGAACACAAAGTTATTTCAACTAACTAATTAAATAATATAAAAAACATTTTATAATATTAAATATATATAAGGAAATACAGGATTTAACTTAAAAAGCACTGCTTTTAATTCATTATCAATTAACAGTTGATCAAGAAAATGTCTTTTACATATTATTTTTAATCCAAATGCTTTTTATAAATTGGTTGACTTTTATTTGTTTAAAATTTATAAACAAAAACATAAAAAAATGTTTCTATTTTATTAATCAGATTTGAAACACTATAGACTTTTTCTTAAAGAACTGTATGTATTACAAAACGTCTTTTTTTTGTTGTGTAGAGAACCAGTTACAAAATTGATTTATCAAACTTAAAGTAAAGCATTTCATTTACGCCTTTAGTGTCTCGTTTAATAGATGCTTTTTTCCTAAAAAATGTATATCAAATTTTTAAAATAAAAAAAGTTATTTAAAGATCATTAACTTACGAAATATCACCATAGAAATGAAATTGAGTATCTGGAGGCATTTCTTCGCCTGGTCCCTTAAATGCATTATTGAGAATGAAATCATATGGTTGTGACTATTGGTTACAAAAAATTTAAATTATTTAAATTCTATTTATTACATTCAAAAACCACTAACCGAATCAACTAACTCTATCTGTTTAGGATATTTAAAACAATTAAAATCAACTGTATCTTTTATCAAGTCAAAAACACAATCATCAGTAAATTTTAAAAATAAATCCATATCCCTTGCAGTAATTTCTGTAATGTCTTTTTTGTCAATTTTAAAATTATTATCCATTATTATTTTTCGCAGTACATAATCACATGCAAGATTTTTTTGCATACGATAAGCCTTAAGATGAAATTCAAAGCGTGCCGTAAATAATTTATATATTTTATCATAATCTTCATAACGATATTGTATATGTTTACCATCATCTGTAACAGCTGCATCTGCAAAAGTAATATTAAGAAAGTAAGGTACAAATAAGCAAAATTACTACAAATAAGAACTTTAATTACTTAGAAAAACATCTATAAAATTCATATCGGGATTGCAAAAGTCTTTTAAACAATGATGATCACGATTAAGATAATCCCATTTATCCACATCCAAACTGCACTGCTTATTATTAACAATCTAAAATTTTAAACGTAATATAATAATAATAAGATTATAAATAGAGTAGAATAGCGCTGGGATGCTAACAAAAATGTTATCCTTCTAAATACAGTTAATTTACACAAACCTCGAACACAAAAAGATATTGCTCTGGCATTGGAGTTGAAAGTAGGTTTGGTTCCCCAACTATAAGTGCCTTTATGAGTTCAATACCGAAATTGCGGTTTGCTCGTAAATTATTAAAAATACTGCTATCCAGTTGCCGAAAAATTGCGTTAACGCATGGTATAGCGTTCCACTCATGCTAGATTTTAATGTGTATTAAGAAAAAATATTAAGAAAATTTTAAATATATTTATAGTACATAGACACATACATTATAATTTTCAACAACAGTTTCCCAAGCATGCGAAAATGGTCCGTGGCCTATATCATGTAATAATCCAGCAATCTACAATCAAAACTTATTAATTTTAAATGAATTATAAGTTATAATAATATAAGTGTTTATATAAAATTACTAGAAAAATTTTTAACCTCTACGGACAACCGATATACTGGCCAATCCTTGTCTTTTGTAATCCATTTACTATTTATTTCTAGTTTATTCAGCATTCTCTTACTAGCCCAATACGTCCTATAAAAATATATTTTATCACTGGAATAGTGTAAAGAAATCATATTTACTTACCCAATACAATGATCGTATCTTGTATGCACTGCTTCTGGTTTATTTACAAACATCACACCCAATTGTTTGATATTTTTTAAACGTTGGAATTGAGGAGTATTAATGATTTGGACGATGTCATATGGAAGCAGAATTTGACCATGTACTGGATCAGCTATTTCTAACTTTAAATAGCAAATTTTACAATTAGCGTATATTTAATACAGTTGGTATTATTTAAAGTTTAAAGATATATAAAAAATTGTTTATTTAATTTATAGCAGCATTAATACTTATTTGAAAAAATATAAAACGAATTATAGATTAAATAAAAACTTTTATGACACGCTATTGATATAAATATATTTTATAGCTACTACTTCTATTATCGTAGCGATACAACATTGTTTTAAATTAATTCATCACTAATCTTAATTTAACACAAATTTTTAATTCTGGGACACAACTTTATCAAATTTTTTTTTTCACAATTCAGAAATTTTAAATGTTTTATAAGTATTTATCATTTTAAATGACAAAATACATACCATTTTTCCACACATAATGATTCATAAACGGTTAAAGTAACAATATATTTAAATTTCGTTCTTATCTTTAAACGGAGCAATTTTATAAAAACTTTATAAACCAAAAATGTTGATATAAATGTTTACAAGAACCAATCAGCTGATTATTTTCTCAAATTCCGTATGATTTTAATTTTAATGCTGCCACACCTTTTTCAAATATGCTAAAGCATGAAATGCAGATGGCGCCACAAACTTACCTTCTTAAGTCTCAGATTCACACAATACAATTATTATATACAATAATTATACTATGTTCAGACAGTCAAATTCTCTTAATGTCATAAAAATGAAATTATGTTAACTTGGAAAGTATTCATATTGCCAAATTAAAGAAATCATATGTTTTTTTGTTTACAAATCGAATGTTTTGTATCTGAAAAATTTTAAAAGTTAATTATTATAACTATAAAGGATGGCATTCAGTAGTTTTATTAGCTTTAGTGGATTTCAGGTATGTGAATTATTATTCTTCATTCTATTTTGAATTAATAACAGTTACAGTTCTTTCTCTTTATTCAAATTTAAAAATTTGCACTACTTTTAAAATATTTTCCCGATTTTATTAAAGTCAACTGTCATTGACATTTTTTTTTTTAAATTGTCACTTTTTCGTTATCTCCACTTTATCTTTTTCTTAAAATTTATCTTACACATAATTGCATTTAAAATGTCCTTTAATTTCAGTCTTCGTTTCAACGAAATTAAGGCAATTTTCCTTACTTTTATTCTAAGCTTTACACCACAACCTACTCATAGTAAAATTCAAGTAAAACACAAGGTGCTATCATTTACTGATGGAACGCACTTGTGTATATGTAGTGTTACTCAAAGTTACTACGAGTAGCTCGTGGAACAGACCTAGTATTGTTTTGCATAATAACAACAAACATCACAGCTTAAGTGGTCTTTGAGTGATTCTTTAGTACCCAATATCGAACACTGCCGTAAGATAATTCAAGATGATGTTCAATTATTGGGCTGTACAATAGCAATCTAAACAATAAAGTTTGTTGTAAGAAATCTATATATTTTTGGCAACACAGATTTACCAAAATGTTATTAAGGCCTTGTGCGAGTTCGACCAAATTGATACTAAATTGACGGAAATAGTAAATTATGTCGTTATGACAGCGAATATTATAGGGTAAATTAGATAAAAATGAGATAAATTAGGTGTTATAATTGTGAAAATTTTATAAGATTTTTAAAAAAATAAATAAATAAGAAAACTTTTAACCAATAATAATAAATAAGTGCAATAATAAAATAAATAAATATTTACATAAGTGCAGTGCAAAAAATCCATAGGAAATTTCAATTTACTTTACCTCAGTTTAATCGAACTCGCAGACGGCCTAAATATCAATTTATATTTATTTAAAGTAAATTATCTAAAACTCGATGAATGGAGTTGTATAATTGTGAAATTACAAACAAATGATTTTATTTATACTAGCGCTCATTTATGAAAAAAACAAAGCAACCCAAAAATAATGTAAAGAATAAAAATTTAGCATTTTTTGGAAATTTGACGAATACGTTGTGTGCGGAATCAACTTCAAGAGTAATTGATTCAATTTGATGATAGTGGCCGTAGACTTCAGACACGGTGTATTGCTTGGTGAAAGAATTGTTATTCATTTGTTTTTAATTTATGGACGTTGTTTAACTACTTCTTCTTTCAAACGCAACAATGGAACCATGAAGTGAGCGCTATTAACAGTATTGCTTTTCTCAAGGTAGTAGATAAACAAAATTTCACGCGTATCTCAATCGAATATTCACATTGTCTCATTTATGGGGTTTGCTCATTATAACCATCAATGAGAATGATTTACCATACAAAAATCTTACAGATAAATAGGCTCATTATCAATAAATCAGCTTATTTTATTCATTTATAGCAAAAAAATGTCGAATGCAACCGCTAAAAATAAATTTCCCATAAGGGAAATTACCAATATTTGAAATATGTGTCATATGTTTCATATGTATAATGTGAACAAACAACAGCTGAGCTGTAAACAGAAGCAATGACAAAGTATGTATTTAACAAAGTCTCTGTTTTTATTAATTGTAATTGATATATAAAATGTTTATAAATGATTTAACATAATATATCAATTATGATTTAATTTTTTTGTGTTTTTTATTATTAATTGGTGTTTATAAGAATTTACAAAAGTTATATTAGCTGCAGAAATTAGCTCATTACAATGTGAACGTTACTATATAACTTATTTTTTTAATTTATTGTTTTTTAATTTGGTTACTGACTATTAAGTTTTATCATCATTATTGCAGTCAAATTCACTTCAGAAAGATTGTACCGCAAATATCTTTAAATTAATTCTGGATATAAAACTGATCTATCATCGCTTATTTGTGTAGCACGATATTTTTATACAGGAATACTGTTCCTGTATTTCCTCATGTGAGCATCAATATTAATCAATTATTTCTTGTTTTGATCTATTTCGCATTATGTGCACCGAATATCTTCGCCACATATATTATCTTCCTTCTCAGACTAATACTCTATCTACAGCAAATTGGACTTTGGCAATATTTTTGTACACATTCTCATATTTTCAGATTTGTTTGCTGACAAAATTCAAAAATAATAGGTATTTGCATTAGAACATAAATCTTGCCAAAGTCTAGCCAGTGTAAACAACAGGTAGAATTAGAGCATATAATGCATACGATAACTATTGTTAGATTGATAACTGAATGCCTCAATAAATATTCAGACAATGTATTGCTATTACTTTTTCGTTAAAAATTTTTTTATAATAACTTTTTTTTTTCACTGCTCACACATCGTGAGCATGATATCGATTACGGACATTTTTCTACGAACTTCAACAACCATGACAGTTTGATCTTCACCATAAAAATATTCAACCCAAACAAAGTTTTCTGAAAATTAGTATTAAAAACATAATAATGTTAGTACCACACATTGCACTTATGTGCGCACAAAATGAAACAAAATGCAACAAAAAATATTCAATACATATAGTAGCACTGCCCATTATGTATAACAGGACTGTCCAAAACACAGCCCACAGGCCGCATGTGGCCCGCGTCTAATGTTTTTGCGACCCGCGATATGATTTTAATCTACTACAATTATGCAAATCTTCTTTTGGTGTACTGGTAAAACCACATTATTTTATTTTCGTGGTATATGTACCAAATATATGAATTTAAATTGATAAATTATTAAAACAAAATTTAGAATTAGAAATTGTCGAAAACAACTACGAACGTATATATTTTTTTCATTGATTTGTGTTGGTTCGCGATCGCATGTGGTCTGGACAGCCCTGGTGTATAACATACTGCATATAATCTAATCCATACTATTGAATTCGAAAAACATCAACAGTTTTATAGTTACTCCATAATGTCTCAAACGAAACTTTTATAATAGAACAATCTTATGAGAAGTAGCACCGAAACATTAAGAAAATAAATTTCATATTCATATGTCTAATATCAATTACCACACGCATTTATAATAAATTTTTGAAAATGACTTTCCAAAACATTTCTTAGTTTTATCTCAAATCAATAGTTCAGACCGTTATATTGTAGGCAACAAAAATTAAGCTCGTAAGAACAAGGTAATCAAACCATCTGTAAGTTGCCGATATTGGCAACACTTTACAGTTTTAATAATTTTATTATTAACATATTTAGCAGCAGTGAACATCGAATTAATGTTGCTGACATATCTTTTAAAAAAAGTGTTATAAAATTATGTTATTATTATTAATTTTTTCATTTCATTATAAATAAATAAAATTTTAATAACACAAAAGTGCACAAAAAAGATGTACAGCTATAGTTTTTAGCAGTACACCACTGACATATTTTTCATAAATAAATTAATGCGCTCAGGAGTAATTTGTTGATATACTCATAATTTAAATACTAATCACAATAA